CTCTTCCGTGGAGGTGGCAGGCGTACAGGCACATAGCCGCGGGAAGCTGTTCTCCACTTGGCAGTGCCAAGGATGGATCCTTTTCTTCTCCTCAAAGTAACTTGCCTTCGCCAGTAAAACAGGAACAAGCAAAAGCAGAAACATTACCTGACCTGAATGCAGAAGTACTGTATGAAGGTAAGAGGCCATGGTGGTGCTATTTCTTCACGAACCTTCAAATGATGCTGCCCTTTCAGTGCTACCCTTGGTTCTCCTTTTTTGGCCTGTTTATCTAAAACCTTTATCTGAAGTTCCTGACTTTCACTTGGCTTTTAGCACTGAATTCCTGTGGTCACTAGCATACAAAGTACCCTTAAGTCGAGGTAAACATACAGTGTTTTGGGTAGAAATGTCAGTCTGGAGCTACTCTTTAAGGGTTTTTCTTTTAGTAACTCTGCCTGCAGGAACTGAGCATTTGCCTGTTCCTCGTAGTCGTGCAGGTAGAAAAGAAAGGCGTTTGTTGGCTGAGGATGGGCGGTGTTGAGCACGAGTGGGGAAGGCAGCGGCCTGAATGATCACGGCTGGACAACAGGAGGCAGCAGAGTGTGAAGCTTGCTGAGGCACTGCATTGATGAGCCGTGCTCGTCCAACTCGCTTCTGGGGAAAGGAGCGATACAAGATCTCCCTGGTGATGTTGCCCAGAGGAGACTGCCTCCCTTTATAGCTAAATGAGGATAAAAAAAGTACCATGCTCTGAAAATAATTCTAATATGCTGAGGAACCTTTCTCTGGGTTACTAAGCAGTCTTAAGTGTTCAGATTCTGCTTTGAGCCCAGCCAACTTTGATCCTACAGAGCTTATTTTTGGGGTGGCTCAGAGCTGGAGCTGAGGTCTGTGTGTTTGTGCAGCTGGCTCTGGAAACAGTGCTGCACCGGAACTGACGGGTCAGCCAGCTCGTATGTGTCTGCACCTGCGGTGCAGTTTATCTACATGCCAGATTTTTATTTGCCAGCAGACTTACTGTTGTGTATGTGTGCGTGAAGCATTTTGCCCAGCTGGCAGTGTATATAATGGAAGAAATGTAATTGCTAATTTTATTTTTTTTTTTTTTTTGTAACGCGAGGTATGTTTCCTGATAGGAGCTCTAAAGAACTTAAAGTTGCAAAAAAAAGAGGCATCTGTGCTTCTGGAGTGGACCTTGGGGTATATTGGTTTGGTCCTCAACAAGTTAAAATAAAATACTTAACATTCATATAGATTCCTAGAAAGTTCTTGTTCCTGTTTAAGAAGTAAACATTGCTAAAAACATGTTGCTGTGCTTTTGTTTCTGAGGCTTTGAGAAAAAGAAGTGGCAAGACCTTCAACAGCTATTGAGCTAGTCTGTGCAAGTCTTCCTGAAAGATTAGAATCATCCTGCTTTGGAACCTGTCTTGATAGCTCTGGTGTGGCTTTGTTTTCTTGACATGGAAGAGTGTTACTGTAGCGTCTAGGAAGTCATCATGTGAAGGTACAGGGCACAGCAAATCTCCATCCTGAAGAGTTTATAATTTGGGCTGTGGATCAGTAATCAGTTTGATTATTGAGGTGAATGGTACCAGCCAGCCTGCAAGCAGTAATCCTGATCTATCTGCTGTGAGCTCCTGTCAAATGAAAAATAGATCAGTTTAGAGAAGTATTTTTTTAAAAAGACACTGAGCTCTGTCACTTGAAACACGCTAAGGTGAAACAAGCATAATGATGTTCACTTGGAAACATTAATGAGTAAGAAATGGAGCTTTATTTCTTTAGATGTCAGAGGTGGTAGCAGTTGACAGCTGTTCTGTAATGGGTAAAATGTGATAGCTTGGTTGGAGTTTGCTGTGAAATACCTTGAAAGTTTAAAAAATAGGCAGCTCAGGCATCAGATTCAGAAGAGGCACAAAGTAATGGGCTTGTCGGTTTATGAAAAATAATCCTTGCAGTAGTCTTTCAGCTGGATGTGGTCACACAGGAATGCATTTGTGAAGGCATGGAAGAAGATTCTTCTTCAGGAAGGTGTTGTAATCTCTTGTCTGCACTGATCAAGGCAGCAGGCTGAAAGCAGGCTTGCTGGGTACTGCACCACCTGGGTTTGGCCACATGAGCAAGAGTTGATGGGCTGAGACAAGGAGATGGACCATGTTTTCAGGTGTTTCCAAACAGTAATAGATTGGCTGTTAGACTCACACAGTGTTCCTGTATATTGAAATGGATTTTAAGAGATCTGTATAGCATTTGATGAGAGTAGCTTTGTCTTTTACAATATGCATTTGAATGTTCTGCATTTGTTTCTTAGACTGGGATGACATCCCACCTTCGTCTGCCTTGGAGGAGATTTCTGATGAGGAAGCCGTACAGATCATAGCAGAACCTCTTCTCCCCCTTCAGTCTTCCACGCTCCGAGATTATGTTGATCACTCGGAAACTCTGGCGAAACTTGTCCACCTAGGTATGCGTGATCCTCTTTATGCTGGTTTGTCTGTGTCTGGAGCTTTGGCGAGTCTATAAGTTGTGTTTTGATCTTTCTGGTTGCCTTGTAAACTTGAAAATAGGAACAGTTACCAATGGGTAAAAGCAGCAGAAAGTTGCCCAGGGTAAATGGAAAAAGAGAGGGAACTGCATGACTCACTAGCAATGCTGTATTGCTTGAAGGCAAACCTGGCTTGTTTTAGGCCCTCGGTGTTGCAGCTGCTAGAAGGGAGGCATCTCCCACAGCTTCCAGAGGTGAAGAGCACTTTGTGTTACTTGATGAATCTTCTTTTGGGCTGGTTACGGATGCTTTAATTTGCTGCAAAAGAAATTGCAGCTCTCTGTCCTTGGAGGGAAGGAAGAAGAATGGTTGCTGTGCAGAACCTCAGAAGCGGGGCACAGTAAACTGGAGAGGCAAGAAGGAAAGTATGGAAAAGAATCTTACTTCTCATGAAAAAGCACTTGGACAGTGTAGGGGTAGCCAAGTTCAGTGTTGCTGGCCACCTTCTCGTTTCCCAAAAGTGCAAGGAACACTAAGAGAGGTTGGAGAAATAAATATCTGAAAGGGGGAGGTCTGGCCCCATGCAGTAACAAATGGCTACATGTGAGCCAGTATCTAAAAGCGCTTCTCTGCAGAATTGTTGCCTTTCATTGTCTAATGGAGCTGGGAATGCTTCTGTGCAACAAAAGTAGGTTTCTACATGGTGGCAGGTGCTAGTATACTTGATTCCTCACATGCAGGATTCACTGCAAACGTCTTCCTTCAAAACATAAACTTGGCAAAAGTGTCTAAAATGACTGCTTGTTTTATCTGCAATCTCCACAATAAGCAAGGTGTTGTGTTGAGCAATTAAATAGTGTTAAGTTGGTGCAAAAAAAGTAGTAGTCCTACAAATTTGTGTGCCTTCGTGAAACATTTATAGGAAGTAGGATATATGTTTAATTAAAAAAAGATTCTAATTTCGTTTGTTGTAGGAGTTGACTTATCTCAAGTGGAGAGACGCCAAAAGGCAGGTCAGCTCCTTCTGACCTTAGACTTTGAAAAAGATATAAGGAAAATACTTCTGTTTCTTAAGGATGTGGGTGTAGAAGACAACCAGCTGGGACCGTTTCTGACCAAAAATCCATACATCCTTGGTGAAGATCTGGAAGCTTTAGAAACCAGGTAAGCCTTACAAATAGTAGCGGAGTGTTAAGCCCTTTGTCATGAAGATCTAGTTTCCCAGTTGGCTTAACCCTGTCTGACCCTGTGCTTCTGCTGTTTTCTTTCTCACTCGATCCCTGGCTCCACGTTCCTGTGCCTTCCCATCATTCAGCATTAATATGGTGGTATCACAAGTCAAGTCAACACCCTGATCGACCTGAAAATTGATCATTAACAAAATTTACTCTCTTCCCTGTCTCTGCCACAGAGGAAGCAGCCTGCCATCCTAGGCCACTTGCTTTACCTATGTCAGATTAGATTCTAAAATGTGAGTCCCTGAGGCTTTACCTAAGTGTGTAAAATAATATTCAACTCTTCAGTCGTGCTTTGAACTGCTCTTCTAGATGAACTGCCTACCTGTACCTTGTAAATTCTGCAGTAAACAAAGCAGACTGTATCTCTTCTGTTTACATCTAATGGCTGCAGAAGGTTTTGGTGGCTTTTTCTTTTCCATTGTTCAGCTCAAACAGAGGGCAAGGCTACAATGAGCTAAGTTTTGTGTGCATTCACACTTGTATGGACCTACACCATTCATCAGTTCATAAATCAACCTTCTTATTCTGAAATTACTTGACAGGCTTGCGTTAATTCAGCAGTTCTTTTACAGAACAACTTGTGTGTGTTTGCACTTTGTGATGAACTCAAAACATCATGGTATTTAAAAATGTCAGAAAAGAAGGTCTGTCTGGCTGTTGAACATAGTAGCTGTTCAAGACAGAAATCTGAAAGTAATGGCTTTTTAGAAGCACATTAGTAGACTCACATCTAACGTAGACTTGATCTTCGTTCTCCTCTGTTCATCCATCCTCCAGTTCAGTAAGTGACCTTTCAGAAAAAATATCCAAAAAGCACCTGTGTTGGTTTTCAGCAGTAATTTTGAATCTAGATGTTGCTTATACTCTCCTGATGAGGAGGGGGGGATTTGCTATGATAAACATTGTAACTCCTCTTTGAAGTCAGATTTGCTTTTCCAATTTTTTTTTTTTATTTTCTGCAGCTGATGTTTGTTGTTTTTTTTTTTTTTTTCCTGCAAGTTTGTCTCTGGCACTGGTGAATGTTTTCCTGCAAGCTTTAAAGTAAGCGTGGTGCAGAGGGTGTATGGCAGGCTGCAAAGTGAATTTGTCTCAAATAGCTGTCTTGTGAAAGCTGAGTATCACCTTTGCATAAACACTTCAGTGCAGATGGACATGGTATTGGTTACATCACTCTGGAATGTTTTATTGCTATGGATTCCCCGTTGCCAGGAAACAAAACAAAAATTTCAATAGGTTTGGCATTTGACTTCAGATAAACACTGTAAAAGTCAAAGCATTCCATAATTCATAATAATTCTGACAGTTGCAAATCACTGTCTGTACTGCAGCTGCACCAGATGCTTTGTTTTACAGTATTGTTAATGATGACTTAAAACTGTTAACACGCTCCACAGAGCTGCTGACCCCTATAGCAGAACAAGGGCTAACCTCCAGCGCTCACAAATTCATCTCGAACTTTGGTCAGGTTGGGTGATTGTGCTTCCGTAAAATACCAGTGTCTAGAGTCACTTTATTACAATATTGCCATCTGTCTTTTAAGCTTCTTGCTTTTCCAGGAGGCGAGGAAATGGTTCAAAAGTGAACCTTAATGACTTGTTAACAGAAAACAAGTGGAGGAGAGTCGGGATAACCAAAAGGGTTTGTTTTTCATCTGCTCATTTAGATATATTTCTAGGATGCTTGGCAGTTGTGTCCTTGACAAATTGAATGGCAGAAGTGTAGCCAAGTTGCACTGAGAACATAATGGGATCATTTTTGAAGGTCCCCTTTTTCAATTTTGTGTTCTACGTTTGTGCCCCTGCGAACATCTCATTGTCTCTGAGGCTCCTGCAGCCAGTTCCACCAGCCTTGTCTGGAGCCCAGGCTGCTACGTTCTGTGCTGGGCTGCCTGCGCAGGTAGAAGTTGTTCCTCTGGAGCTTGTTCTTAGGTCTTCTGTCTAGAGGTTTTTGGCTTGTGATGACTTCAGTTTTGAAGGTTTGTGGAGAGAGAGGGAGGCTGTAGTGACTGGAAGGTATTTTTATTTTTTTGTCTCCGCAAGATGTCATTTAATGCACAGTCCCATTTTTTTCTGAATATCTGCTTCTGCAGAATATTCTGCAATCTATGTAGTATCTTAATTACTGCCAGATAAAATCGGTTCTCTCAGTTCATCTGACAACAAATACTTCTATATGCTTATCTATAACCAAAGTGAACCCTTCAAATTGTAGTTTACGTTTTTGTAAATGGTGGCACGTGGCTTAATCATGTCTCTTTTTATTTTGTGTGCTGTATTTCGCCCCCATTCCTTTTTCTGGGAGCTATGGTAATAATCTACTGCAAGTAGTACTTGAACTAGAATTTCACTTTCACCAAAGTCAATGAAGTTTGGAAAGAAAGAATGGTTAAGCATAACAACTTTAGTCAGCTCCATTTCCTTGCTGACAACCAAATGTTCTCATAGAATCATAGAATCCTTTAGGTTGGAAGAGACCTTTAAGATCATCAAGTCCAGTGATTGGACCGGTGACTGAAAGTAGGGACCTACTGTAACCAAAGTAGCCAGCTGATTCAGAAACGTCTTTTTGGACAACGCCTCAACAGATAGCATTGTTGTATGATACTTCTACTCCAGTGCTATTGGCAAAACAAGGATGTATGAGGTATTATAATACTCTGTTCTTTCAGCAGTAGAAATGGAATTCATTAAAATAGCAAAAGGCTGTATATATCTTCCTGTCCATACCTTACGATGATCTAGTAATGTGTTTGCAGTCTAGGAGACAGGCTTGTAGTTAAACGTACGTTAACATAGTTATCTGCTTAAGTACAGCTGGAAGGAATTAAAATCTGTCTTCAGTATTGACATTCTGCTCTGAGGTTTATTGTACTTCTAATTAATTGGAAGGGATGGTATTTTGCTTTTATGATAACTGCAGATTTCCCCCTAATTATTTTTGGCAGGGTTGCATGTTAATGCTAGAACATCTGTCCGTTTGTAAGATATCACTGAGGAATTTAAGCAAGTACTGAATAAATGGAGGCAATAAAATTTTCATCACTGGATTTTATTTTGTTTTTGTTCTTTCTAGAGTGGCTTACCTAAAATCAAAAAAATTTGGTAAGGCAGAAATTGCGCAGATGGTCTCAAGAGCTCCATATTTGCTGTTGTTTTCAGTGGAAAGACTGGATAACAGACTGGCTTTCTTCAAAAATGAACTTGGTCTCAGTGTGAAAAAGGTAGACTCTACACTGAAATCTTTAGGTCCTTTGTTAGTCACAACTGTAAGGGCTGGGAACTTAAAGTGGTTGGAGGTTATCCACAAATATTACTGACATTACCCATGGTAACACAGGGTTACAGGAAGATAAGATGATTTTACCTGCATACAGGAGTAATATGGACGTCTAACGTTCAAAGGTCCTGAAGTAATGTTCTTGAAGATGATCTGCTGCAGGTTATTGTCAAGCAAGCATGTGTGTGTCCAGTTTTATTATCTGAGGTGAGTCAGGACTGAATCCATTGCTGAAACAGCAAGGAGCTTTTTTAACTTCAAAAAAATAAATTGACTCTCTTAATCTCTTCAAAATACTGTAACATACTTAACTCATTGGTGAAAAATAGTCTAATGTGCAATTTATCATATCAAACTAAATACCAAATCATATCCTCAGCTCACCAGGAGTAACCCCCAGGTTTGCTCATGATTGCTTACTGCACTATGTGCTTAGCAGTTATTTAGCACCATGCTTGGGGATCTTCAGAGGAGGTAGTGGCTGGAGTGTCTTGCAATAAATGAGCAGTGTTGTTTTCTGCAGTAGCTGGGGCTGGCAGTAAATGTCAAGTTCTAAGTGGAATCTGATGTTCTTCTCTTGGCTTCTATTAGCTGAACAGTCATAGCTGTTACAGTTCCTGTTGCTGACCTTTCCATACCTTGGGTAGCAGATCTCTCTGGAAAAGGGTGTTGTCACTGCCTTGTACTCGGGGCAGATTGCAAGTAATCCCATGGCTTAGAGGATGTGGAGTCATTTCTAGTATTGCTGTAATACTATGGTCTAACCAGATCCCAAGGTAGACAAATTCCACTGCAGCTGAAAAATCCTTTTATGACCTCTGTTGGGCAGCATTTTATTTACTTTTTAAAAAAAGATGGGAAGAAACAACTTGAGCACTGAGGGAGATAGGGCACTTGAGTGTGCTTTCGACTTTAGGGGTTTGCTTTTACTCCCTTCTCCTGACTGTTTCACAATACCTATGTTATTTTTTCTTTTCCAAGTGAATGTATATGAATAAGTTAATACACTGCTGCTTCATGCAAACTCATCTTTGGAGTAGAGATAAAATGAAATGGAAGTGAAAGGGCATCCCTTTTCCAACTGGAAAAAAAAAAAGTTATATGAGAGTTCTATCTTTCTTTCACAGATGGATGCACAAACAAGCTTTCAGTACTAATCTTCCCTTTGTGTGTTTTCCCTAATTGTAGACAAAGGATCTAGTCATTCGTCTTCCAAGGCTACTGACTGGCAAATTGGAGCCTGTAAAAGAAAATCTTCAGGTGAGCTTGTTTGTAGGTATTGAAAGTGTTTTGTGTATTCACATAGTTTAAGAGTTCTCTGGAGATAAAATTATTGAAGGACAGTCCTGCATAGAAAGAATTTCATGAAATAATGTTAGTGGAGATATAAAATAACTGAGGATTTTGTTAAACAGTTTCTTTTCCTCTATAGCTTGCAAGCTTACAACAAACATGGAGAAGTATCTTACTGTCTCCTACTCTGATGTAGGTTACAAACTTCATCTGGTTCCTTTCCTGCCAAAAGTTGCTGTCTGAGGTTACAAATTGTTAGCCATTTCTTTACAAGGAGTGAAAAATAGGGGCCCCTTAATTATTATTGGTTTTTTTGCTAACTTGGATTGTCCATGAGAATTTAGGAGCAAGAAATGTGCAGTTGATTATTTTCCTCTTGGCAGGTGGCTAGTCTGCCAAAATATGCATTTGACACCTATTGTCTGATAGCAGATGGTCGTTATTAACAACTGTTGGGTAAATAACTTCAAACCCACAGGGACCCCTTTCCCTTTTGAAACTGTAACTATGTATTGGTTTAATTATTGTGCTGTAAAGCCATTGAGGCCAAACAGCATAATGTAGTGCAACAGTTTGAGAAATCCCATTATCCTATAATGCATAACTATGAATTAAAATATATAATTTTCAGACAGACTTACTGCTCTGAAACTATTAAACACTGGGAATCCTGCAATCTGAAATGTGAGTGTGGTAAGGGAGCAGAGTGGAAAGTAACAGACTGTTCCAATTAATAGTGCTTTCTTTCTAATGAACATTGTTTCCACAGGCTAGGGATTCACTGTGTCATAATGAATGTGGTTTTAAGATCCTCAGTTCTATGTGACTATCTTTATCTACCAAAAAGTGTATAGTGTAGCATCCTTATTTTTAACATGCTCTAGAGAAAGGAAGGATTTTTAGGTCCTCACTGTTAGGATCTACTGATACTTAGGAGCGTCAGCCTTTCAGGAGATTGGATGTCTCACATTCAGAATCTGGGTTCAAGACCTGGATGTCCTAAGCTGGTGATGGGCAGGCAGTAGTCAGAAAGTGAAATCATGCACCACCAGTTCAGAAGTGATCTGATGGTGTTCCTCATTTGGAGTGGGCAGTTGTTTAGAAACAGCTGCTGCAGCTGATGCTGGTTGTCAAAAGATACCAGTCATGGACTAAATGAGGTGAAGGATGTCTTATTCCATCCTCTGAAGGTTTCATCAAGCACAGCTGGAGACTTACTGACAAGGTACAACTGGAAAGCTTGCACTACCACTGCCTGGTGTGGGAATCATAGAGTATGTTGAATATTCCTGGGGCTTGCACAGTGGGGATATTAGCATATATTGTCTAGTGAGTTACCAAATATTTAATGTTTGCTGTCAAACTCGATGCAATCAAAGCAACTTATGCTTGAGCTCACTGTTCAAGTCAAGAGAAAGCTGCTCCATCTCACAGCTACAAAAGAAAAGATCAATATTCTTGCCACAGTTACTTCTACAGTGGGGCCAGCTATCCTTCTCCACTGATTTCATGTCAGATCTTACTCCTGTTTGTGTCTATTAAGGCAGTACATTACCCCTGCCAACTCAGATACATGGAAGACACCACTAAAGGGCAAACACATCTCTTCAGACTTGAATGCTGTCTTAGTTGATTAGTATTTCTTGTGATACATAAATATTTGTAAACCAGATAAGGAGGAAACAGGGTTGAAAGACCTGATTATAGTCACCGCTAGAAACAATTCCCTGTAGGGACCTGGAAGTCCTAAGGTAACTTCAAAAGCCAAATTCTAAGCCCATCCCTTTGTGTTTGCCAGGCAGTTTTGGGAAAGAGCTGCAGTCTTGGCATATCAAACTGGAGGAAAAAAAAAAAAAAAAAAAAAAGGTACTACCTTTTTGCCAACTGAAGAAGTATCTGAGTTGGATTTTAAAGTCTGGTTATGTTACTGGCAAGCACACCCGCTCCATGGCTGAAAACAAGCTGCTTGTAAATGTCACTGGAGGACAGAAGAAATGTCTGAGTTACTAGAGACTCTGGTATGCTGAATTCCTTCCTCAGCAACTCAATGAGCTGCTTGCCATTCTGCACTTTGGGATGAGTGCTCATGATTTTATTGAAAAAATGTGGTTTGCTTTCCTTTTGGGAAGCCATAACTAAAGTCAAGGCAGTCTCTGAAAAGATACCTTACTTTAGATGTTAACCAACTGTAAAATAAATCAAATACACCACATACTCATCTCTTTCAGGTTCAGCAGACTTCAGTTGAAGTCTACAGGACTGAAATTATACTCCCTAATATGAAAATGGTTACATTAGCAAAAAGAAGTTACACATGAACAAAAGTAGTCACTAGCTGCTTGATTCCTGTGTTCTACAGAGCTCAGCAGCTCCACAACTAGACAGTCAATCTCTTGACAGCTTGGTGTTGAAAGTGATAAACGACTCTTAGGGGAGAATTTTTATGCTTGAAACAGCCGTGCATACTGAGACAGCTGAAAAATACATAGCATTCACAGAACTCATCTTTACTTCAGGGATACTCTATAAACAAATTACGCTTCAATCCAGAATGACAAATAATTTGCAACGTCTTACTTGAGAAGAATTGGAGTGGCGGATATTGTGGGTTGCATTCTTGTTGCTGAGTGACAAAGGGTAGAAGAATTTTGCATTAATTTATTTCAGTGGCACGTTACAATAGGCTGTGTTTGCTGTAGTTAACTTTTGAAAATAATATTGTGCTCTGTTTCAGGTTTGTCAGATTGAACTTGGTTTTCAACTTAATGAAATTCAACAGATTGTGTTTAAAACCCCCAAGATTTTAACTGCAAGTAAGAAGAGACTCAAACAGACATTTGACTACTTGCACAACATAATGGGCATTCCCCACCACATGCTTACTCGCTTCCCTCAGGTGAGCTGTTAACCTGGGAATAAACTGTGGGTGCTTTTTGCACAGCTGCTTCAGTGCTGAAGGTGGAGCCTCACCATATGCAGGACATGTGTGAATTCTCCAACTTGTCTGTGACTTTTACTCTAATTGGGAAAACTTTTCTTAGCAGTTCAGCAGCCACTGAGTAATCCAGTGTGGAGCTGCCTTTCTCCCCCGGCACATGATGGTACCACCCCCAGTCTTGGGAATTGTTAATTTTCAACAGAAGTAGTCGTGCCCATCTCTTCTGGATTCATGCAAGAGACATAACTGCCTGCTTTAGGGATTACTGCCCTGAAATTTTCCTTAGCTGAGAGACGCAAGGGAAGACAGGTCATGCAGAAGGTGTGTTCATTAGATAGCATGTATATTAAAACGTTTCTTTTGGATTTGTCTAATTAAAAAAAAAATGATAGATTCTAGGATCTGAAAACATAGTTTAAAGATAAAAGACGTTCTGTCCATTAGGCAATTAGATTCTCATTGATCTGCCTGTTGCTGCAGCAATAGCTAAAAAATCATGAGTGAAAATAGACTGGTTTCTTGATGACTGCTTTTTTTTTTTTTTTAAATCTCCTCATTACTGTTACTCCCTCACAAATTAAAATTTGAAAGCATTAGTCACTTCTTCCAATGCTGACATGCAGTCACACTAGCTTCTTAGCAGGAAAAAACGAAAGCACAGATTACAACTTCTGAACTGCAACAATTTTCTTCCAAAGCAAGTTTGTAGGAAAGCTGGCTAATCTAAACTGGCTCAAAGGCCAAAATTATGTGGAAATAAAACTACACCCCACGATTTTGATTACTTGCTTTGCTATTTAATATATCTCTATTTAACAAGGATGCTTGCTGTAACTCCAATCCAGTTGTTGCTTTTGCTCTCTTGACCTGTAGGTGACCAAAGGTCTTGCTTACTTCTTTCTTAGTTAGCTTCTTCTTGGCTTCATGGTGGTTCACCTCATTATTTCCCTTCCCTTTGTTGGAAGGGTAAGTGGAGAGTTTCCTCTGTTCCTTGTTCTTGGCACAGTCACCCTCTGTCTCTCCCAATCTTCATTTCCATCCTCAAAACCTGTGAGTTCCTGGATATGGTTTAGTGCAGCTCAGTCTGTATATGGTCTGGCCATTAACTTCTGCATTCACAAATGCATGCATTTCTTTATCTGTTCTTCCTTTTGTCCTGAATGAGAATAATGCTGAAAATAAGTGGCATATGGGACTTTTTTGTCAGATCCTTTCTGATGTTACAGCTGCTGTTGCAACCTTCATGACATCCTTCCTGTCAACTAGCTCCATAAATGGTGGTTGTTTTTTTTCCCCTGTCCTCTGGCTGCCTCTTAAAGTTCAAGGGAGGCAGAAGAGGAACAGTAGTTTTGCTTTCTGTCCTAGTTCAGCTTAGTTTGCATCCTCATGAAATCCTTCCTTCAGTAGCGTAGTCCCTTCTTTTTAGTAAAACCTCTGCTCACTTCCATTGCTCTAGCATTTTTTGTTTCCACCATTATCTTCTCTAAAGCATCTCCCTCTTCAGCTGTACTGCTCAGGAATGCAGAATTAGATCTGTGCTTTTAAGACTTAACTAGTGTCTTATCTCTTGTCTTAACCACTTCTCTCTCTTTTTAGATGTTGCACTGATTTCTTCCATATTTCCCTTACCATTGTTGTCACCTATGTGACAAATGTCTTCATAGGTGTATCTCAGATATCTTCTTCATATATCTTCAAAGGTAGCAGCAGAAGACAAGTGGTTGCTTTGAGCCCCTTCACTGTGTCTTCTGGCTGTGTTAGGACAGGGGGCAGAGCCACTCCCCTTTTCCACTGCCACTGGGCAATTCACTCATTTGTGTTACACCGTGTGGCCACCCATTCATTTCCTCTGTGTAACAGTGCTCCTGTGAATCCAGCTCTACAAATCAGTACTTGTGATAGTACAGGGGAAATGCTTAGGTACTCTTGCTCCCTCTTTCTGAATGTCTCCTCTCCACTTTCCTGGCTGTGAGTACACAAAAGCAGCATTGTTATCATATATAAACAAAAACCTGCCATGCCTGAGAGCTGTATCACTCCCTGATTTCCCCTGTGTGCCTATGTCAGCATATTGTATTGAAGCATTTATTTGAAATTTCAATAATTTATATATAAATGTAACCTACCTGGTGTTTGACATAAATGAGAAGGTGCAAATTATTTGTTTTTTTTCCTAGATCTTCAGTTTGTCTAAAAAACGGTCTTATTTTAGATTCATCCGAGTCTGAAATTTAGACAACCTAAAAGATTCTTCCCTTTCTTTCTTAGGTTTTCAACTCAAAGCTATTACGAATCAAGGAGAGACATAAGTTTCTTACATTCTTGGGAAGAGCCCAGTATGACCCAGCACAACCCAGCTACATCTCTCTGGACCAGCTCGTATCCTTGCCCGATGAGGTGTTTTGTACAGAGATTGCCAAAGCTTCTATACAGGACTTCGAAAAATTCTTAAAAACACTTTAATTAGTAACACATGTAAAAAGGAATAAAGCTATGAAATAAACATATTTTATAAAATTATTCCCCTTTATGGTCTCTTAACTTCTTAATTACTGGTTTAAGAAGTTGTTGCTTAGGAAATGTTTGTAGGATTTAAAGGCTCACATTAATAATATTTATAGTGACTTCAAAACATACTTCAGAAGGATTTGGTGAGTATCTGTTGATTGCTACTGATTCAATCTTTGTAACTGCTAACTTAATTCTGAGTGAATGATGAAACACACTGATAGAAAAGTAAAGTGTGTTTGTTTTTTTTTTTCTTTCAACAGTTTGAGTTCTGGGAGATGGGAAAACTGTTGAGTGACTTATTCCCTGTGTTGTTCTCTCTCAGCCCTCACCCTCCCTCCCAAAACTTAGAACTACAAGCAAACGCACTGGTGAAGAAGTGATGTGTTTACCTGCTTTTAGTTTAAGAGCTAATAGCATTATTTTCCCTATAGCATAGAAAGAAGTATGCTGTTACGTATATGAAGCCCCTCATACAAAAAGGTATTTTTCAACAGGTTACAAAGATATTTCTTTGTGGAGCTGGCTGCTGAAATTAATATCCTAAAAGCTGTGCTGTGAAACCATTAAGTTTCTTTGACATATCAAAGAAAATCAACAAACTGAATCTAGAAAAATTACAGGAAGAAAATAAAATTATACATGGCTCTGAAATCTAGAAGGAGCTTGTTTTAAGTCACTTTCCCCCTTGTTGAGGAAGGGAAAGCAGTGAGATTTGCAGGGCTTTATTATACAAGTAACCATATGGAAAGGGGCTGTAGTATGTACTTAGTTGACGAGTTATCTTGCTTGGTTATAACTGAAGTAAATGCTAACAGTAGGAATCACAGGAGTATTAAAAGTACTTAATCCTATCGGTAAACAATTTGCCTTAATAGGGAATTATCAAATTCTTCACTGTGTATTTGGGCAAAGTGAGAACCTGAATAAACTCAAATGTAAACTGTCTGATAGCTTATTGTTTAGAAGTTTCCATTCTTTCAGTTAAAACAGTTAAGGAAACTGAAATCCAGATGTTTTCATTTGGATTTCAGCTTACTTAATGAAAAAGTCTCAATGTTTTAAAAGCTCAGTGTTGGAGCTTAAAATAACAATTTGTGTGCAGATAGCAGAATAAAATTTTAAAGGTTAAATTCCCCTAATAAGTAGGACATTGAGGTTAAAGAGATATCTAAAGAATGAGAATAGTAGTGATCTCTGGACTATGAACTTGGGTCTTTTTATCCAAAATAAAAATTGGGAATTTGTATTGCATCACCTATGAAAATTAGCATTGTCAGAACAAGCAGAGTGCAAAATTAATTACTAGGGCGTCTTCACTTGAAGCACAGTAAAAAGCCACATTCACAGTCTGTAATATATATCTGAGATGGTCTCTTGGTTTTGGTCTCATGTTGCTCACTCCACTGGCCTGGGAAGATCAGCTGAAATCACTCATTAAGCAGGCTGCTCTTGGTGGGAATGCATAATAAATTTGATCTAAAGTGGTGGCTGAAACGTGATGGCTAAACACTCTCCTCCATTCCCTCTTAAGTAGCTAATCCAACATGCTTACTTAGATTTTGACTGTACTAAATGCTAATAAACTATTTTCTTCAACCAACTAGTAAAAATTATAACATCCACAGTAAAAATGTCAAGGGAGAGTATGGGGGTTCATAATGCCAAAATGAGGACTGCTTTTGCAGATTTACTCCGCTGTCGTCACGATCTATATTGCCATATGACAAACCATTATAATAGAACTTGTATCATTGTAGTGAGAATGGAGTTAATGCACTTCACTCACAAGAGGGAAGTAACATATTTATTGATACAAGACAGTGTTTCAGCAAAGTTTGAAACAGTAAATGCAACTTTAAGGAAAAATAATTCAATGGCGAGGTATACCTCTTTACTTACTACACAGAGGACAAGCTAAAGGGGAGATTATGGGTACAATTAAGACTGAGTGCACCCTTAGCAAGATTCAAAGTTGAAGCATGATAGAGATAATACATACATAACACTTACCAACGATCTGTTGGAATCTCTCAACCCTGGGGAATATCTTTGACAGGTGTTCCTGCTCAAGGGGAGATCCTGGAGTGCAGCCAGCTGCCCTGCAGGACAACTCAAAGGGCTCTTGGGCTGCCTACTATTTATGGAGGAAAGATGATTGACTCAGTCATATTTTCCTATTGCTCTTTCATCTGAACATATTGTTCAGGCTAGCCCATGGCTCTGGTATTGTTATGCATTTCACCTGAATCCAGCTTAGCAGGGTGGGATGGTTACACCCAGATGCACCATTATCACCAAAGCAGATAACCAGAGATAAGGGTCATGCTGATAAGGTTTAAAATGCACCATCAAAACTATAGAATGTATATATATTAAATGTCTCAAAATTTGGGCTTTTAATTGCTTCAATATTTTTAAATGTAAAAATGATCACTACCAAAGCTAAACCAGTTTCTTTGAAATGCTAAATGTGTGAGTTTATGCCAAAATAGCTTCCCAGAAATACCATGAATAGAGAGAGAAAAAGATTTTATGGGTAGTGCTAAAAGGGAAAGGGAGAGAGGACAGAACTTTTTGACGATTGCGCCAAGTTTTTTTTTTGGCTTTAAGATAAAAAAAAAAAAAAATTGGAATAAATGTTTGGCTTAGAATTACCAAACTTATTGTAGCCTGCTGTTCTTGATAAGGACTAGCAACCTTTGAGCATGTTGATGAATTGAGGTGTGCTGGGTACAATAAGCCTTTAGTAGCTGCTGATGGACAGTCTGAGCTTTGGCGTTTGCTTGCATATCACATCCAGCTATGTGTTTTTCCGACTCAGATTGCCTACTGTAGCAATATTTTTAGAATTATTGCACCTATTTATTTTTTTTAAGCTGCAGCGATCTGTGTGAGAGGGAATGGCAGGGAAGAGGAGCAGCGATCTGTGCCTCAGGGAATGGAGCCTCTCACCCCGGCAGCTGCCTGACCCGGGCAGAGCGAGCTTCCCGCTGCTCCCTGGCCTGGCCTTGCTGCTTTGCTTACTGTGCTCTACAAACATAAACTTACTTTTAACTCGTATTCACCTTTACCCCTCAGTTCACAACTGCGGGAGAGTCTTCACAGCCCCCAGCCACACCAGTTCAGCAGCCTGGGTTGGCTGCTGGGTTCCCTCGCAGTGCCACTGCAGGCTCCGAGCTACAGCTCGGAGGCGAGGACACGGGCCCTGTGAGCCAAGGCGATGGCTCGCAGCAATTTTTTTTGTGGCAAAATATTTTGATGTTTGAATCGCTGCCGGATTGCGGAGGTGAGGAGGCCGCGACATGTTCCTTGTTCTGAGCAAGCGCTGATCCATCTTGGCTCAATTACAGACTCGCTAACCCCGTAAGCGTTCTTTAAAACCACGGGTGTGGTTTTGAGAGGCCCGGGCTCCACCGTGCCCGCCCTGGCCTCCTTCGCCTCTCCTCGCGCCCATACACGGCAGCC